ACCGGGTCTACGCTGATCCACTATGACAACGATATCAGCCCAGCTTTCCACTACTACGAGTGTGTGGGCACTGGCCTAAACATTTCTCAGATCACTGGTAGCACTCATTCCAGACTTATTCAATGCTTGACTTCACGTGTCCCTTCCTTCGGATTGCACGACGACCTGGCTAAATATCAGCACTCAAGCAACACGTCTGGAGAACACGATTCGCCTGGAAACAGGCCTCCTCCAGATACCCCAGGTGCTTCATCGCCGAGTGAAGGCCGTCTGTCGACAATCTATGAGGAAAATGAGGAACATAATATCGAAGCTATGATGCTGGAAGAGTGGTACGACGAACTACGTATGGATCTTCATCCTACGACGACTACCGACGATTATCTCTACTGCGCCCCAACAACCATGCTGCCCGACCAATGTGTTTTGGTTTCAGCATCTGTGGACGAAGAAGATATCATATCATCGGACACGCTCGGAGACGAGCCCGAACCACGAGAGTCTGGTCTAGTCTCTCTCTGCTCAACCACACCTGACGAGAGCTACTCTCTTGACAGTGATGAATATGGTTCTTACGTTGAGTTATGTTTTACATCAGAAACGTCAACAGTAGTGTTGGATCAGACTCAACTTGCACAGCTCGACACTGATATGGTCGCAACGATGAGAGTATATGTATCCTCTGCTGCTAAACGCGCTGTAGTCGTTAAAGAAGATGACCTACTCACCAAAGCCGACATAGCAGTACATCCAAAGGAGGTTAGTGAAGCTTTGTATACTGAACTCAAAATCTGGATTGACAACCGATGCTTTGAGATGTATGATTTATCCAAAGCTTCCAACATCATGACATCCAGGTATGTATACAAGTGGAAGTTTCTAAAGGTGGGTACCGAGAACGTTAAAACCATTCGTCTCAGACTTGTCCTTCGTGGATTTATGGATACTGAAGCTTTCGACGTGGAAACATTCTCGGGAACCGCCCGAAGGCAGTCCCAACGACTCCTGGCAAGTGAGGCGGCATGCCATCCAGAGTGGATCTTAGCATCCATGGATATCGACAAGGCGTTCCTCAAGGGTTTGACCTATGAGGAACTTGCCCATGCCACCGGCGAGGAAACTCGCATGGTCTGCTTCACTCTTCCACCGGGAAGTGCCCAGGTATTTCGTACACTACCCGGCTTCTCATCTTATGACGAAAGCCGACACTGCCTCAGGTGCCTCAAACCAGGAACGGGTTCAAAGGACGCTCCAAGAGCGTTCTCTCTCAAACTTCGTACGACCACACGAGCTATAGGCCTTCACCGACCAGTTATGACCCTGAATTTGAATTCAGCCAGGATCTGCTAACGGCAAAACATGTCGATGATATTAACATGACAGGCCTAGAGAAAAATATAGACGACTATGTACAGCGTGTCGAAAAGGTGTTTGGCAAATGCAAGCTCAACAAGCACTCATACACGAACTGCGCCGTTCGCTACACTAAGAATGATCAAGGGGATGTGATCATGTATCAGGACGAGCACATCAAACAACTACGTCCTATCACACACCCAGAACTTACAGGAGCGGCGGCCGATGCCAAAGCCACGAAACTCATGACCGACATGTTCGTCAGCTTGCGAGGAGCCCTCGCCTATGCCCTTCTTATTCAAATCTGGCTCATGGTATACGTGGTCTCTCTCCAGAAAATCCAAGAGCCCACCAATCTGCAAGTCAGACGTCTGAATGCTGTGACGCGAAAGCTGATCAGCAGCCCGAAACGCATCACCTTCCCTCGGATGAAGCCCACGAATGAAGTTGACATCCACAGCGATTCGGGGTATCGGAAGCTCACCGGGGAGGAGGATGATGAGACCAAGGGCTACGGCATACGCGGGGCTAATGCACTACGGCGAGGAAACTCGCCTCAAGGCAAGTCCGTCGTTCACCTCTGTGACGGACTATGCAAATCACACCGACTGCAGGTGAGGTCCAGCTATGCTGCGGAGGCACTCGCAGCTGCGCATAACCTTGATGAGTGTTACCCTACGCTCATCACACTCCACGAGCTCAAGGCAGGAGCTCTGACTCCACGACAACTACGAGATATGCGCGAAGTTGGAGGCCTAGCCATCAACGTATCTCTTACCATAGACGCTGAGTCCGTTTATAAATCATTACCAAGCAAGGATCTTAAGATACCGACAGAGCGGACTCTGCTTGGACATATCAGTTGGATACGTGAGCTCATGGATATAGGTATAGCACATAACGTGCAGTGGTGTGATACTAGGGATATGACCGCAGACGGGCATACAAAGGGAAGCATCGATCGGGAGCTGCTTCTGGAAGTAATGTCGGGCACTCAGTCATTCAAGTATGACGTGAAGCAGTTTGTCCCCTTTCGGGGTCCCGAGGACAGAAACAAACCTAAGTCTAATCAATTTTAGTCTGTCCTTGTTGCCCCCCCGCGGTCCAATTTGCCAGCATGGGCGCCTACTACAGAGGCGCCCTTCTAGTTGCTCGGAAACGAGCCTTACATTTCACGCCTGGCAACGAGCCGGCTTTATATGACTCAGGCTCTTTGCCTTAATACCTATTTGCCCGGTGAGGTATGGCCCGTTTGGCTTACCTCTAACTGAGCCGATAGCCCTTCATCGTTCGAAGGGGCTATCTTGTATTTGCGTGAAATGCCTTGCGAGGAAACTCGCCTTACAGTCTGGTGTTAGGCCAGACTGTACACACTGTTTTCTTTCTTGCAAACAGTTGTGCGCGCGGCCTTTGCAGAGCCTAACGGCTGCGCGGCTATGCTCTCCGTCTCCCCCCCTCCCGACTTTAAGGGTAGCTCTTTGGGAGATGTTATAGTATCGGGAGCATGGCTCGCGCGCCGTTGCCTTGGGCTCAAGGCACGCGCGCCCTATTTGCCCAGACACTTACCTTAGTGTTCGCCATGTGCTGGAAAGACCGATACATCGATCTTATCCTATCATACCCGTCCATTCCCCATACTGAACCACCCCAGCAGGGTAATGGACGCTATCTGCCATTCGATTCCCCTGGGAGCGGATGCTATTTGAGTTACCAGGCTCACTTTCGACTCAGCGGAGTGATGTCCTACGCACATACAGAATACCCTCGCAGCTCCCTGGGTGGGGCACCTGCGCAACTGCCGTCAATTTCGTGTGTTCATGGGAGCTCCAATGGGCTGACATCTTACGAGGATCCAGGCGAGACCTTGCCGCCCCCGCGGGTCTGCCACCTGCGAAGCCGTCACCACTTTCGTGGGCTCCTGGGAAGGGGCCGAGCGGGGTGACGTCTCACGGGAATCCAGACGAGACCTCGTCGTCCCCACGGGCTTGTCACTTACGCAAGTGACGCCATGTTCGTAGGCTCTTGGGAGCTCCAGCGGTGTCCTATTGCCTGAGGGGGCTGGCACCTGCGCAACTGTCGCCACTGTCGTGGGCTTCTGGGAGGTCCAAGCGGAGACGCCCTCACGGCATTCACCGCGGGGCTGCAATCTGCGCGCGCAATTGTCGCCACTTGCGTGGGCTCCTGGGAGGTCCAGCGGGGCGACGTCTCACGGGGATTCAGACGAGACCTCGCCCTTATTCCACGCGTGATCGCGACCCTCGCAATTATCATCACTTGTGTTGGTTCTTGGGAGGCACAACGGAGTGACGTCCTATGGAGATCCAGGCAAGGCCTCGCTTTCCTCAACGGGCTGCGATCTGCCCATTGCTATTTTTTGCGTGGGCTCCTGGGAGATCCAGCGGGGCGACGTCTTACGGGGATTTCAAGCAAGACCTCGCCCTCCCCGCGGGGTTTGCGATCTGCGCAATGGTTGCCACTCTCGTGGGTTCCTTGGAAGTACGGCGGGGCGACGTCTTATGGGGATTCAGACTAGACCCAGCCAACCCCGCGGGGCGATCTCCGCAGTCGTCGCCGTTGTTGTTGGTTCCTGGGAGGTGCAGCGGAGCGACGTCGTATGGGGATCCAGACGAGATCCCGCCCCCCCTTGCGGGGCTGCGATCTGCGCAACTGTCGCCCCTTCCGTGGGCCCCTGGGATAGGCAGCAGAACTGTCGCCACTTCCGTGGGCCCCAGGGAGGCCTGGCGGAATGACGTCCCACAGGGATCCAGACGAGAACTCGCCCTCGCCCCCCCCCCCGCAGGGGTTGCCACCTGCGCAGTTGTCGCCACTTTGGTGGGCTCATGGGAGGCCCAGCGGAGTGACGTCCCGCGGGGATGCAGACGGGACCTCGCCCTCCCCGCGTGATTGTAATTTGCGCAATTATCGCCAAAGTCGTGGAATATTGGGGGATCCAGCGGTGACTTGCCCAAATGCGGACTAGGCCACGATCGCTGAGGGGGTTGCCCCCTGCGCAGCTGTCGCCCTTGTCGTGCTTTGTGCGACCTGAGTTGCCAAGGTGTGTGCGTGGGTGGGGGGCTGTGCGCGTGGCCCGTCGTTGGTTGGCGAGATGTTCAAGGGCGTTGCGTGTCTCTCAACGTGCTCTTCCGCATGCAGCATTATTCTGGTGAGTCGCCTCGCATGGAGAGACGCTTGGAGGCAAGAGAGTGGGCGCATACGTTCCCAAACAATGCTAGCACTGAAGGTGTTCCCAGTGCCTCGATTCGCCTACGTCCCTGGCATCGGTTGCCGGGCCTCGGTGGCTCTGTCCCTGACTGTCCCTGGGCGCTACTGGCCCTCCTGATGCCTGATCTGGTCGCTGACAGTTTCTTTGCTTCGGCCTTGTTCCCGGCTGTCCCCCGCGGTCGCCGCGAATTTTTGCTGGTTCGGCCTTGTCTCTAATGGACCCCGTTTCGGTGCCGCAGCCAATTCCCTTGCTCCTGCCCTCAGTCGCCGCCAACTGCCTTGCCTCGACCCTCTCCCTGGCTGCTCCCAGCCCTGGTGATTGCCCTCGTCGCCGCCAGCGGAGACGGGCGGCTGGCCTCGCGACGACGACGACGACGACGACGACGAGGACATCGACGGCGGCGGCGGCGACCTTGAGCCAGGCAGCGGACCCGTGCTGGTCGAGCGCGAGGACATCGGGGCGTCTCCTCCGCCTGGCTCTCCTGCGACCTTCCCTTGGTGCCCTTCCTCCTCCGTCTCATCCTCACCTTCCATGGTTCTCTCGGCCGTCTGAGGCGCAGGGCGCGAGAGCAATCGAATGGGCCTTGGCCCGGGAAAGTTGACTTCGTGCCAGCGAGGACCACGAAAAGTGTTTTTTGCATTCTGGATGTTGGGGGAACAATGTTTGTGATGCAATATGTGGGATTCAGTCTGTGTGGTGCAAGGCACGACGTGCAACCTACGCAGTGCAATCCACGCAGTGCAATCTATGTGCCGTTGTCCACGTTGCAGAACTTGAAGTCGTCGACTCCATTGTTCGCGCAAGCAACCCACCCTCCCACCCGCAACTTGGCGATTGTGATGATTGCTTGGCCATGGCTGGCGCGCATCTCTGCGGCCGCGCTGGCGCGCGCAAGCTCGCGCGCAGAGCGGCTAGTTGGTTTGGCACAACCGATGCGGCCGCGATGGCGATCACCGATGGCAGCGCCCCAACGCGAATCAAAGACCGCGCGGGCACCTCGGCGGGTCGGTGGCTCGACGGGGGGGGGGGCGCAGTACCATGATGAGTTCGGGGACAGCGGTAACGATGATGATAGTAGCGATGGTGGTGGCGATGATGACGGTGACGACGGCAAGGCTAATGACGGCGCCGATGTTGGTAATGCCGATGACGATGATGACGATGATGATGATGTTCATGTATTTATGGTAAAGGTGATTGGTGACGGTTGTAATTGCAGCGGATGCCGATGTCGATGACGCGAAGCGACGGCGCTGATGAGGGTGATGGTGAGGAGGTGTTCGCGCGGGCGCGGAAGCCCAGGAATTTTGGCAAACGTGCGGATGAAAAACGATTGGTTGGTACACGTGTTTGAATAGCTCTAGTTTGGAAAGCTTCGAAAACCATGGGATTGGAAAGGTTTCGACACGCCTCGTGTGTCCCGCATGGTGATATCTGAGACCGACTCGTACACTGGGCGCGCATGCTGGATCATCGCGGATGCGCCGCGTGGTGAGTTGAGAATGCGGCTTCTGGGCGGTATTGCTAAAATCATGCAGTTGTCCCACTAGTTCAGCAAGCGCGCGCGGGCAGAAAGTTTGCAAGGTCGATGGTTGAAAACCGGCAGGGGGCGTGAAGTTGTTACGTTGAGTTCTTTGCAGCACCTTTGATTTCGACGTGCGCGCGTATGGGTTCTGCGCCATTTGTTTGCGAGGGGCTCTCGAAAACATATTATGCGATGAGCGAGGGCGCGCATAGCATGATTTGACAGGGATGCGGGGGCGATAACAGGGCTGGCTGGGATGGCGCGATGCCATATGGAGAACCGACGAGGAGGCAAAATCACATGTAAGCTGCAATGTCCCGGGGGGGGGGGTCGATCAGTCTGGAGGTGGTGGGGTGGTAAATCCGATTCTGTTCTCGAAAAATAATAGATGGGGCACAACATGCGCAGTGCAACCTACGTGATGCAGCACATGTGACGCAACATATGAGGTGCACACTATGTCTGCACATTCCCCAAACAGTGCTTGCACTTCTGTCTTCGTACTTCTCTTCCAATGAACTGGCCCTGAGAGTCGGTTTGGAGGTTCCGAGCTTGCCGTCGCCGCCCCGTCGCCGCCTCATCGCCGCCCGTCGTGTGGGCCTGGGTTACGGTCCGGCTCCTCCCCCTCCTCCTCCTCCTCCTCCTCCTCCTCCTCCTTCGCCTCCTCCTCCTCCTCCTCCTCCTCCTCCTCCTCCTCCTCCTCCTCCTCCGTCCTCCTCCGTCGTCTCCCCCTCCTCCTCCTCCTCCTCCTCCCTCCCTCCTCCTCCTCCTCCTCCTCCTCCTCCTCCTCCTCCTCCTCCGCCTTCCCCTGCTGCCGCTACCTCCTCCGCGTCCACCTCCTCCTCCTCAGCCTCCTCCTCCGAGCGGCGAACGCGTCTGTCCGCGCGCCCGAGCACAATGATCGGGAGCGGGCGCAACCCCCCAACCCCGGAACCAGCGCACCGCTCAGCGGATCCTGGAGCTGAGGGGGTGCGCCCACCGGGGCTTATCAATTCCGATACACGGGACCGCCACGGAGAACGCGACTATGGTGCGGAGCGTCGCCCGCACGACCGCTTGGCCTGCGGCCTGGGCCCTGCAGTCCCACCGCCAAGCGCCACTCCAGAGCACTGCGGTCCCACCGCCAGGCACCGGCCCGACGCTCGCCCGCCGCCCAGCCGCGCCCGCGCGGCGCCTGCTCGTCGGCCCCGCGCCGGCCGCGCAGGCCCGCGGCCCTGCGCCCCGCCCAGTCGCGTGTCCCCGCAGCGCCGCGCCGCCGCATCCAGCAGCAGCTCAGCCCCGCGCAGAAGACCCCCGGCGCCCGGCTGTCCTTAGCAGCCCAGCCGCGCGCCGCAGCTGGTGGGCCAGCTCCCGCTGCAGCGCGCAGCTCAGCACCCGGTAGGCTCGCACAAGCTCTGCTTGTGCGCGTCCTCCGGGAGCTCTCGTTGGCCAGCGCCAGCAGCCAGGCCCGCGCCTCCTCGCCGAGCCGGCCGCCCGTCTCCACGGCGAACGCCGTGAGGCGCTCCCTAGGGTAGCGGGTGTGTTTCGCGCGCTCGGTCCGGCGGGCCGCCTCGCCCGCGCGCCTTGCCGCCGCGCGCACGGCAGGCTCGTCGCCTGCCGCCGGGTGGCGGACAGTCACGTCCAGCCACCGCTGGCCGTCGAGGTCGTCATATTCGACGTCCAAGATAGCCCGCTCCTGTACCTGCGCCTGGCCCCGCCGCGGCTCGCGGGCCCTGTCCCAGGTGGGCACCCGCTGCTCGTACAGAAGCAAGCAGTGGCACCACCTGCTTGAGGCTTCCCGCGGCGCGCGCCACGCCCGCGTGCCGCCTGACGACGCCTCCGCCTGGCTAATAAACGGCGGCGTGGACTCCTGCCAGATCCAGCGGCGCTTGGCACGGCTTTCTGCCGGCCGTCAGGTCTTGGCACGTCGCCGCAGCTCGCGCGAGCTCGACTGGAGCATTCTGGCCTTGGCAGCTGGACGCGGCTGCGGGTCGCCGTCTGCCAGTGCGGGTCCTCCAGCGCGCAGGCCAGCTCCGTGGGATACTGGAGGTAGGCGCCGGCCCTGGGCCTTCCCGCGGACAGCAGCGACGCTTGGCTGCAGTGATGCATTCGCCGCTTCGCAGCAGCGTGGGTTTCATAGCAACCAAGGTCTTCTGCTTTGTCGGGTGCCCCAGCAAGACCTCCAGGGGCGCCGCCTGCTCGGGGTCCGCGCCGTGGCGCGCCAGCTCAGCCCGGGTCGCGTCGAGCGCGGCAGCGGCCTGCGGCAGCGCCGCCAGCATGTCTGCAAGAGTGGAGACTCCTGAGACACCGAGGGCGTCCCGCACTTCTTCCGCCGCCTGCGTCCACGCCGCACAGCAGGCGGGCGCCCGCCTCGTGGCCGCCCACTGCGCGCTGGCCCCTCCGAGTCTTGCCGGCAGGCCAAGCAGCTCGCACACCTCTAGCCCGAGCGGCCGCCCCAGCGGCTTCTCCCAGCAGCCCCACAGCGCGGCGTCGTAGCAGAAGGTCTTCTCCCCCGCGGCCAAAGCCAGCTGCAAGTTGTGCTGGCTGGCGTTGCCGGCGTAGGTGTTGAGCAGCGCGCTCTCCGCCTGCCGTTTGAGCCCCCCTTGCAACAGCCGCTCCAGGGTGGCCCAGAGCTTCTCGAGGCGCGCCGTGGCCTCGTCCAGCCCGCTGCGATGCCCGCCGAGAGGGAGCGCCGTCCTCCTCCTCCTCCTCCTCCTCCTCCTCCTCCTCTTCCTCCTCCTCCTCCTCCTCCTCCTCCTCCTCCTCCTC